CCTTACTTACATCCATCTAGATCTGCAGCATAATGTATCTTAATCTTTATCTCATCCAACTCCTGCAAGATAGTCTCCATATCAACCAAAAACTGAATTTTGTCCCAACAGGGAAACACTCACCTTGTAGTTAAGAAATGAAAGCTTTTCATTTAGCTATATACTCACACCTTGTCTACTCATTTGTGGCTCCATTGGGGTGTCAAACTGGAATTGATGGTTCTGTTGGGGATGTCTCTGTCAGGGTGTTTGACATTGAGATTGAAGGCGCCATGGGGGATGTTTCTGTCGGGGTGTTTGACATTGAAATTGAAGGTGCTGCGGGGGATGTCACTGTCGGGGTGTTTGAGGTTGAGATTGAAAGCGCCGCGGAGGATGTTGCCGTTGGGGTATTTGAGGTTGAGATTGAAGGCGCCGCGGGGGATGTCTCCGTCGGGGTGTTTGACATTGAAATTGAAGGTGCCGCGGGGGATGTCTCTGTCGGGGTGTTTGTCATTAAAATTGAAAGCACCACAGAGGATGTTGCTGTCGGGGTGTTTGAGGTTGAGATTGAAGGCACTGTCGGCAATGGCCCCATCAGGGTGTTTGACATTGAAATTGAAAACATGACCTCCACAATATGGACATCTGTGGCATGATCTTGAATACATCAAGTTAGCAGAGCACTTTATTGACTGTGGCAGAGCATTTGATTGACACTGACAGGGAATTGAGATTTCAAAATGTTGACTCCCGCGGGGCATTTGATTGACTCCGACGGGGGATTCAAAATTCAATATGTCAGCTCTGGTGAAGCATTTATTCAAGATAGAGGAGTCAATCCACTACAGCATTTTTAAGCTGGTGCCCAGATCATCCATCCATGTGAACTGAAACATGCAATGGCTTGGAATATGTGATTTGCAGAAACAAGAAATATATTGTCAAGAAATCAACGCACAATATTGATGAAAGGTCCTGCTATTAGCCATGACAAATCCTCATAATACAAAAGAAAGATCCACTGAATTG